TAAGAGTGATGGCCTCGGACCTCAAAGTGATGGCCTCCAACCTGAGAGCGATGGCCTCCAAGCTAAGAGCGACGGTCTCCAACCTAAGAGTGATGGCCTCCAACCTAAGAGTGATGGCCTCGGACGTAAAAGTGGTGGCCTCCAAACTAAGAGCAACGGCGTGTCTGGGCATTTCGAAACTGGAGAATACTGGAGTTTGGCACCCGTGTCGGGCTTCGCGCCTGTGGCAGCTCAGGCGGCGGCGGTCTTTCCTGATGAGAAGCCAGCTCCGTCACCACGAATGACAGTATGTGGCATTGCCTCATTTACATTGCCTCCATCATTTGAGCCTGTTCCCACCAGTGTTATCCTTGATACATCCACTCTTCAGGGATGTATTGGCACTCCAAACGTGGTCCAGAAACAACGAGTGTTTCAACGAGGTGAACACACCATCGGTGTCAGGTCCTGAAGTTCGCGTTCGGCGTTGGAAGCGGCCGCCGTCGTTTCCAGCAAAGCCTCCTCGATGTGGTCAGCCTTCAGGAGGATGTCTAAACAACAGGAAACTCTGAGGGAAAACAACGGTTCAACGTGTTGTTGTTGTTGTGGGGGGTGGGGGGTCCTTCTCACACTATTCCCGCCATGTATCTTACTCCCGTTCTGAGTCTCACACGGCAGTCTTGCCCCACCTCAGCCACGGAGCGACTTCCCATCCCCCGGCATGGGATCCATCCGGACTGCATCTCGTTGCTGGGCTGCCCTGCATTTCCATTTGTTCCATTAGCCTGAGTGGTTGGAGTAAAACAGCCGACGCCAGAACAGCGGATCATTCAAAAGGAAGGTCGGACAGCAGAGTACTCAGGAATTTCCATGAGTTAGGTGGATTTCCACGAAGAACATGTGAAAAAACAACCCGGATGGCGATGTAGGGCACGTACTGGCGAAACTGGGCCATGGCGGATGATTCTCCGCCTGCAGTGCGTGGCGTTGAGGTCTTTGAATGAGGGGTTGTTCCAGCGCACGCTCCCGGAACATGGTGTAGCAACAACATCATGGTGTGTCAAATTGTTGTTAGCCAGGAACCCGAAGACAAAAAAAATGAAAATGCACAAACACGATTAAAAACGACTAGCCAAGAGTCCGAAAACAAACCAAAAATGTGTTTTAATAAGGATAGCAATTCATTCCTAGTGGTTTTGCTTTCTAAGCCAAAATGCCGTGAAAAGTCAACCACTCTCGCACCGACCTGCGGCATCCGCCTCCGCTCGGTGGTCGTCCGCGTCATCGGCCTCCGCCCAACGCTTCGTTGCACAAAAACTGAACACCAATGTAGCGAAGCAGGAAGAATATCAAATAGATCACTTTGCCAAGGCCACGTCTTCATCTTCCTGCAATGTAACTGGTGAGGTGGCGACAACTCAGAAAGTGAGACGCTGAAGGAGCCTGTTGGCCATCCTCTGCGGCCAATTGCCGCTGCAGCTCTGCCTGCTACACACCGCAGCCCACTGAAACACACGTGAAACTGCCACATGCACCTCCACCCACGCTTCGTCTTCTGAAGCTTCCTCCATGTGGCCACAAACCTTCAAAAAAATGCAATCACACCAAGCGCAACGAAAAAACAACCGCGCACACCTTCACAGGCCATTGCAAAGGGCATGCAAATCAAATTCCATTCAAGAACCAGTGCTGCTGTGTGGTTTGCTGACACATGCCAACCCCGTGCGTAACTGTGCAGGAACTTTTGCATCTCTTATCTTGCCCACCCCAACACAACCACCTAATGAGCCGGACGGACCGTGCAAGAGTTTGCCAAAAAATCCACACCCCCAAATGCCAAACCCCAAATCGCGCTGCATAGTCGACAAACCATGACAAACCCACGATTCAATGAAAACGGGACATCTTCCTGACCTGTTGTCCGAGATCAAGACGTTTTTCGATGCTATAGGCTGGGCGCATGCTTGCACCAAAGCCCGGAAAATTTGCAATCGTTTGCTGTTGGGGCCCGGCTGTGCCAACTGTGATCATGAGTTTCCTGTTGGGGTCCAGTATTGCCCACTGCAATCTGAAGTTTTCTGTTGAGGTCCGGGGGTGCCCACTGCAATTTGGAGCCTGCTATCTGACGCTTGCTGTTGAGATCTGGGAGTGCCCACTGCGATCTGGCGCTTGCTGTTGAGGTCCAGGAGTGCCCACTGTGATCTGGAGGCTGCTGTTGAGGGAGGAGGAGGCGGAGGAGGAGGAGGAGGAGGAGGACGCGGGATCAGAATCTAACAACCCTCACCTGACAGGTGGGGAAAATCAAAAAAAATGCGACTGAAAATGCTGGGGTATGCTGCAAGAAGACACGCGAAAAAATAATGAAACAGAGAGATGGCCGCCAAATAAAAGGCCCCAGCAGGTCTCCAGACTACATAGCCGCACACAAGCCAAAACAAATGCCCAAACACAAAACACTGCCAAAACTGACGTCAGGACACATGTCAAAACCTAAAACGCCGGTACACTTCCCAGACAAAGGCCACAGCAAATGTCAAAACACATGCCAAAGAAACAAAAACCAAAACAAATGCAGGAATATATGCCCAAACCCATGCCAGGACACTTCTCGGAATACATGCGGGTGACCGAACACATCTTGCACCACGTATCAACACCAATGCGGAGGCCTATGTCAGAACAAACCGGAACACATGGAAGGGTTGATGGCAGAAGAATACAAATCGCAATACACCAGAACGCATGCCACATTTGATGTCAGGAACACATGTCAGAAGTACATGCCACACGAGATGTGAAGCACATGTCAGACATGACAACAGGGCAAAAGTCACAACACATGCCAGAAAGGATGCCAAACCACATTCCAGACCAGAGCCCCCTCCGTTCTCAATGTCGCATTCTGTGTCGCTGGCAGGCATGCCAGACCTGCTGCCTGAACTTGCAGACCATTGTTTTTTGCGCGCGTCACATGTGTCAAGCAACATGCGTCAAGAAAGTCGATCAATATGTCTGCACCGCCTTCTTCCAAGTTAAGGCGCCGATGTTCTCCCAAAATTGTTGTGGGCTGGGCCAGGTAGCCGAATGGAAACCTAACACCGTGGCGTGCTTGCCGCAATACTTAGAAAAATGTGTGTTAAAGTTAATCTAAAATCCTAGGGTATGAGGGTGATGAAAAAAGAACTCATTGCAAAGATCTGCAAAGTGCATTTGTGGAACATGCATTTTTGCAACATGTGTTCCACAAAAAATAGACTCTCCCAACATTCCCCAGCGCGCCTGTTCTGTTTGACTGCATTTTGATAAGAAGGGTATACGGTATTTTGCACAGAACGCACGTGGCAAATGGTTTGGGGGCAGCACATCAACTTCCACTCGTTCTCACGGAAGACGCGTTTCTGGTCTCGACAAGGTTTGGTTGAGGGTTGAGGCTTGAGGCCTTTTGGGTCAGTGCCGAAGACAATCCCACACAAAACATGAAAAATCCCCAAATCCAGAGAAAAAGACACGTGAAAAGAAAAATTCACCGGCGACCTACTTGGACTCTCAAGGTCCAGCCGTCCAGTGAGTGGGGCACGTCTTCACCTCCGCGCCGTCGCTCTGCGAGCCGGCGGGTCGCGGTCGGACCGTTGGCCGCGAGAAAACGACCCGTCCGCTCGTGAGTTCGTGAGCTCGTGGGACGGCTCGTGTAGATAGAGGGAGGGGAGGGAGAGGTGGGATGGAGTCTGGACGTTCTTGCCTCGTCTCAAAAGTCTAAACCGTCGAAGAAGTGATGTTGAGGTCGCAAGAGGCGATACAACACATCGCCTCATATAGTCGACCAGAGTTCGACCAGACTCGACCTGTGCCACTCTGTTCGTGCCTTTGAAGGTTGTTTCGTGAAAAGACATGAAAAATACATAACAGCATCGGTTCACGCCCTTCAAGCTGCGCGCTGAACACTGCCGGTTGCGACGTTTGGGCCATTGGTTTGCGCTGGGATTGGCGCCGCAACATGCGAGGGGCAGACGTGACGTGAGGTGCATGTGGCTCACCACGTTCTGGAAAAAAAACAGAAATTGTAAATGAAGTGGTGCAGTTTCGTCGGGGCACAGACTATATGTTACTTTTTGAAACGTCCAAATGTTGACAGACTTTTGCCAACGATATACAGAAATATAGTTTATATACATATCAGCTGTCAAATATATGTTAGCCACACGATGTTAGCCAGTTTCGCGCCGCATCCCTTTCCAGCCACACAATGCGTTGCTCAGCAGTCTGAAGCTGAAGGGCAACCCAGACTGTGCACCATACTCCCACGGCTCCCACTACAGCATCTCTTGTTAAGTCAGAGGGTAACCTTCCTAGTCTGCATCCCGCCACACATCGCCACACTCTCGCGAGGATGTCTGCGAGCTGCGTCGTGCATCGTCTGTCTGCGAGGTGATGCAGC